GAACAGTCTGGACCAACCCATGTCTTAAATTTGATCGAGGATGCTGCTGATGAGTCCACTTATAGCTTGGCAGTGGATGTGGGAGCTGCAAATCTAGCCAGCAATGATGAGGTTGCAGTTGCTGATAATATCAATACTGAGAGGAGCCTTCCTGAACGGGTGTCTTGTCTGGGAAGAGATCGTCTGTTTTCGTATGGTTCATTTCAGTGTCTGCGAAACGATGACAAATATGCGGTTGACTCTGATGAAATTATGTCTGTGTATGAGGGTTTTATCATAGATGAGCAAGTGGAAAATGCAGGAATGGAGAATGATGAAGGGGAAATAGATTTTGACTCGATGGAAATCCCAAGTACCACATTTGCGAGAGCTAGCATTCTAGAGCAAATTTGCAAATCTGCTAGCACGCAGACACCATTGTCTCAGTTTTCATCTACATTTAAGCAACATCAGATTCCAGATTTGTGTGGATTTATGGCAGATGGGTTTCTTGATCACATGGACCTGGGAAATACCATGTCTCTTGAAGAGGATTCCAAAAAGCATCTTAGAGCAAGCGATAGTCATATAACTGAAGTTGATTCTGCTTTTTCAAAGCAGCAAAACTTTGATTTGCTTCCATTTTCTTCTACTCCATTTTGTTGGCAATCAAAAAACCATTATTCATCTCCTGTTGGAAAGTTCTGGGAAAGATCGGCATCAAGCTCAGGAAGTTCAGAGAAGCGATTGAGCTCAAATCCCGAGCTTACCTGCTTCCCCATTGAGGAAGACCCTAGCAGTAATGAAGAAAGTGAAAATGCAGAGGAGAGTGATGAACTTCAAGAAAGCATAATTTCCGGAGTAGCAAATGATGTTGAAGGAGGACCACCCATTGAACCTGTTGAAGTATGCTTTCAACATCCAATTACAGTGTCTACAGAAATGAAAATTGCAAGAAGAGAGAATGATGAGGAGGTGGCTGTTGAAATTGAAGAAGGCTTTGTTTCAAGAATAAAAGATGACCTTGCTGAAAGAAAAGCACCCCTTAAATCTACTGAAGTATGCTCTCAACATGTAAATCCTATGTCCACAAACATGAAATATTCTGATAGATGTAGTTCATATTCTGCCAATAAGGAGGTCAGCTTAAAGCAAAAGCCTGCAAATCATTCTGGCATTAAGGTAAGTAGGTATGAGGAGAATCGGACCTCATCGATTGCTACACGTGCTAGTAGTAGGGGGAATGTGTCCCTTCAGACTGAATACAGTAAAATTAAGAGCATGAGAAAAGGCATACCAAGGGTATCACAGAAGGAGGCTAAAGGTGGCAATATTGTATCAAGCATCAGATCATTTATTCCTATAGTTCAGCAAAAACAAGCAGCTGCTGTTTGCCCAGGTAATTTTTTTATCCACCCCCCATTTTCTGTATTACCTTTCTGTTCTGAAGCCTCAAGTACCCAAAAACTACCAAACTGCCTTCAAATTCTGGATGATGCAAAGGCTGGAGACTTTTGTTATTTATTTGTTTATGTATTCAAATTTTCTGGTCTTCTTTATGATTATGATGATTATTATTATTGTTATTATTTACGGAGATGGGTGAAGAGAGAAGTATAGGGAAGATTGATGGTTGTATGCATGTACGTGAGAGTTGTTACCTCTTATTCCCAGATGTTAGGTTTTGGGGTGAAGACTAAATGGAGTTGATGTTTAATGAACACGGAATGTATTTGGCATCTTATATTATACATGATACTCAAGTTGCTTCAATGGTCATAACGTATTAGTAAAGGCTAAGTGTTGACCCGAACTTTTTTTTATCTTTCACACAAACGATGGCACATCTGCACATGTATTTGGTGTCTTATATTAGACATGATTCATGGTGCCTCAATGGTCATACGGCATTCATAAAGGCTAAGTATTGACCTGAACCTTTTATCTTGCACAAAAGCCATGACACATCGGCACATGAATTCATGGTAACTCTGAGGCTAATAAGGTCATTCACATTTACTGCTTGTTCGTCCACATCTAACTACTGCCGATATACAATGACCAATAACCTTTTCTTTTTCTCATCCCTCACTCTCTGGTAATCGTGTTCCTCACCAGATCAGTAACATTAGGAACAATTCTGTGATTTTATCATCATTTTTCATGAATCAATGAAGCAAATGGAAGTAGATTAATTATTTTTTAATGTAAATTTTCAGTTGACACTTATTTCAATCAGATATATGAAGATTGGTAAACAACTTGCAGAATTTTTCATGAATTTTTTTCTTCGAAAAGAGCATTTTTTGTGAGTTATGTTGGACTTTCTGTTGTGGAAGAATTTTTCTGTATCTGCGAGGTGTCTAGCTTGTTTGATTTTGTGCTCTAGGCTGACCTAGTGCTGTTGCTAGCATGTAAGGGTACGAGATCTAGTAGAGTATATAGTTATAGCTGTTATAATGATTGTTCAAATGGAATCTACTATCGATGCAGGCAGAGTAAATTGGGCAACTATAGGAATTGCTTTGCTGCATTTTGCAGTATCTGTCATTGATCTACACAAAGATTGGGATCTATGAATAAATTGCTGCCTTTTTTCTGCACAAACTAGCATGTGTAATATTCTTTTTAACCTTCTGTTTCTTCTTGAAGGGAAGAGAGACATCAAAGTGAAGGCTCTGGAGGCTGCTGAGGCTGCAAAACGCCGTGAACAAGAAAAGGAGAATGAGCGTAAGATGAAAAAAGAAGCATTGAAGCTTGAGCGAGCAAGAATGGAGAAAGAAAATGCGAGAGAAATGGAGTTGAATAAGAAGAAGCAGCAGGAGGAGAAGAAGAAAAAAGAAGCTGATATAGCAGCAAGGAAAAGGCAAAGGGAGGAAGATGAGAGGAAGCAAATGGCCAAGAAAAGAAAGCATGTTGCAGAAGCACGGAAAGAGCAGAAACTACAATATGAAAAATCACGTGCTGGGAAAGTGGAGATGGAAAAGCAGCATGCCAAAAATGTTAGCTCCCTTTCAATCCTTTTATTTTTGAAGTATATAATATATTCATCTACAGGTAAACTCGCACACACTCCTCACTTCCGTCGAGGCTTGAACCCTTAACCTCCAGGGAGGTTGGGCTCAACCGTGGACCCAAATACTGCTAGGCAAATGAACCTTTGATCTCCCTTTCAGTCATTCTAGTCCTTTGTATTCCTTGTTAGGTTAAGACTTACCATATTGATTTCTGGTACAGACTGCAATTGCTGGCAACAAAAAGGGATCTGATAATGCAACTGAAAATCTGCGACAAAATAGAAATGCAGATGAAAGAAGTTTTCAAAGAAATGACACTGAATTGAAGACAGATGAAAATCCAGCGAGTGTCATCCAGCAAGTTACCTCTGTCCTTGAAAATTGTGATGCTTCCAATGATTTTGGTGGCAAAGAAAAGGTATATATTGTGTACATGATTTTCAATCATATGCTTTATTGCCTCTTCATTCCTGTTTGTAGTAATATATTCCTTCCCCACATCCAAAAACCTACTACACAAATTTCTAGCACCTTGTATCCAATTATTGTCTTGTTTTAGGCCATGTTTGGCAACCATAAGCTAGCTTATTTTTTGAGCTTATTAAGAAACGCCTTTTGGTTAACCATAATCCAGCTAGTTCAAGTAACGTTTCAATTAGCTCCTGGGGCTTCTTTTCCCACTTCTTTTCAATTATTACCATATACTTTTTCATTTAATTCTCAACTTGTCTTTGTTGGTCATTTTACATTGTCATCTGGTTTATCAGCTAGGTTTTACCAAACATAACTCGTTTATCAGCTAGCTTATTAGCTGAACAACTAGCTTATCAGTTAGTTTGCCAAACATAGCCTTAGTTAAAACAGAGGCATGATAATGGAAGTCATGTTGTTGAACTCTTGCTCTTTGACATAACTTGGTAAAAGGGACCATTAACAAGCCAATGTCTTCTTGGAAGTCATGTGATTTGCAGAACAAGCTAGCTTATTAGCTAAACAACTAGCTTATCAGTTAATTTGCCAAACATAGCCTTAGTTAAAACAGAGGCATGATAATGGAAGTCATGTTGTTGAACTCTTGCTCTTTGACATAACTTGGTAAAAGGGACCATTAACAAGCCAATGTCTTCTTGGAAGTCATGTGATTTGCAGAACAAGGATGCTCCCTATATTTTATTTTATCATCTCATCGTGTTTCCCGTACCTTTTACTAGAATACCTTTTAGCCTGATCAAGAATTTTATTTGCATAGGCAACAAGCATAGTTGAAAAGTCACCTGTAAAAGTTGGGTCAGTGAGGTTGACAAATCAAGAAAATTCATATGACATTTCCCCATATCAATGTTCGGACGACGAGGACGAAGACGAGGATGACATACCCACCAAGAAGTTTGTCCCTTCATGGGCCAGGTGAATAACTTGATCATCTCTTCATTTATTTTAATCAGTGTTCTAAAATTCTTGCCGCAACAGTCATTGTGGCGCTACTTTGCTCAAGGCTTGTGCCTGACGTTGCATTAAGCATGTGGCACACCATGGCCTTATGTTTATATATATTGGGTTGGGTTTTGATGAGAATGGAAGTTATGGTGAAAAGGGTAAGAAGGGGTCTCCAACCTTGGATCGATCCTAATTGGAGATCAACACTAATGTGGAGCACCAAGATGCATCGGATCAATTCCCGTGATAAGCACAATTCATGGGGTGTGGGTGAGATTAAAAGTGATCAAGGGTCCAGATCCCGTCTTATGCTTCTCACCTTAACTCCTATTCTTATACGATCTTCTTCTATATATATATATAAAATATGATATAGAGATTTTCCGCCATAGGTTACGCCTTCAAAAACGCTGTGGCTCCTAAGGCTTGGCCTTGCCGCCATGCCTCACACCATTTAGAACCTTGCTTTTAATGAAGTTGTAAAGATGCCATTTGGTTCATCTCTGGTCTCTGATTGCTGAGGAATCTGACTTGCTTTCTGCAGTAAACACCGTGTGGCCATGGTTCTGCCATTGCAGCAGAAACTCGACCCTGAAACAATCTTTTCTGTAGAAAGCTTTTGCAGTATGGATGAAGGTAATTGTCTGATATCTTGTTTTCATGTAGATCAATTATTTTTATTTAATGTTGATTGTGGTGGAGACTGGAACTTCCAACCATGAGGGTCAGCTCAACTGGAAAAAAAGGCCAGTTCGAGTGTTGGATTTTTCTGGTTGGTATCTTCAGGGACCCATGAAATTAGTTGAGATGTGTGCAAGCTGGCACGGACATCTACGGTTACCAAAAAAGAACTCCCGAGCTTTAACGTACTGTTTTCGAATTTTGGAAAGAAAGAAAATAGAAGAATGGTAAGGAAAAGAAAAGAAAATTTCATGTTGAGCGTGAGAAAGGAAAGAAAAGATGTCATTTTTACTAATATACCCTTATTTATTTTATAGCGGAATGTAATTAATGTGTAATTTTATAAATATTTTTAGTTGTTATAAATATTTTCCTCCTTTTCCTCCCACATTTGGGTTTTGGAAGGAAAATCAACATTATTTTCCTACGTTTCCTTTTTCCTTTCTCTCCTTAAAACAACTCGAGAACACAAGTTTTTTTCTTTCGCTCTTACCTTCTTTCCCTTTCCTAGAAGAATCGAAAACACATTGTTAAGCATCTTGGGTGGGTTCCGTACCACTCGGTCAGATTAGCTCGTTAATGTTCTAATAACCATTGATTATGTGCCTACAGTTCTCCTTCCTCGGAGGCTACAGGCACAATAGGTGGCGGATATTGATTACACATTCAGCTGCAAATCAAAGGTATTGGCTGTACTTAATATTTGCTTTTGGGCAAAATGCATTAGAAGTTTGCCATAATTCCTATTAAGTTTTGACGATGATTCTTTTTCTCAATTAGCGCAGTGGAGGGAGGTTCGTTTAGCGATCTTAAATATTTTGAGAACCGAGAAACCACCCGTTATTATGTAGTATTCATTATAATAACCTTGATTAGTAATGAATATCATTTATCATGAATATGTCTCACGACATTCATCATGAATATTTATTATGTTATTCATAAAAAATATTAACAAAATAGATGGTTCTTGAGCTCTCAAAATATTTAAGATACTTTAATGAACAATTCAATTCTTTCTGCTTTGTATCCAACTTCCCTCGTAAACGGGTTTTCAGCCCATAATCGATATAACTTGACAATTTGACATTCATGTCATCGATAATAACAAAATGTAGCTGTTACTGGTCAAAATGCATACAAAATAGGATGAATTGACGATATTTTGGTTATTTCTGCAGATTTTAATCGAGCACTCTCCTGCTCGTTGTTTTGTCAATCAAGAACTCATCCATGACTCCATGCATACAATTCATATGCACAGATCAAATGCCTCCACATGTCATTAGGACCTCCGATTAAGTGGCGCTCCATTTCTCGTGTTCGTACTGGTAAACGCTATGTTCTTCGCTCGCTGGTTGAAGCCCGTATGAGCATGAACTGTGTTGTTGAATGATTTTGATCAGGTTATAACTGCAACAATTTGGCTCTATGCACATAATTTTATTGCAATTTTTTAAAACATAGAGATGCTAAGTCTTGATTCCCCGTTCTTTAGCTTTAAAATGTCGCTATAAGCCTGCGTTTGGTATACGGACAAGATTGGTGAGAGTGACGTAAGCAAGTGAAAAAGTTGCATAAGGTTTTTAGGTTTTAATTTAATGAGTAGTTTTTTGTTCACCTGTTTTGGTGAGACAGATTAATGGGCCGTTTACTAAACGCTTACAAGGGATAATTTTATCCGGTAAGTAAGAGTGATGACTTATAGTCAGTAAACGTTTACAGGATAAAAATGTTGTATGCGATGTTGTTTTAATACATTATCTGGTAAATTAAATGAAAATGTTGAATTTTACCGATAAGAACTGACTGAGCAAGAGTTGGGTAAACGGCCCCTAAGATGATAACTAAATTTGGAGGAAATAATGTTTTTCTCCCAGTTATTTGTTAAAAGTTATGATTTTAGTCTTTATGGTTTGTAATTCATAGTTATTTTGGTTTTATGATTTACAATTTATTGTTGTTTCTCTTCTCGTGGTTTACAATTCTTTACTATTTTGTTCTCTTATACTTAAAGGTATAAATTAATTTTTGGGACCAAAGTAACAAGAAACTGTAAGCTATGTGGATAAAAATGACAATTTCTAAACCAAAGAGACAAAAATAATACAATTAGTATTAACAAACCACAATCACGAAAATCATGATTTAGAGAACCTTCACTAAATCCGGTAAGTACTTATTGGTGTCACTTATCTTATCTAATAAACGTTTATCGAATTTAAGATACTTAGGGGTTATTTTACCATTGTTGAATGGTTTGATGTAGAATGATTAAGTGATGCTTAATGATTAAGAGACTCATATGATATAGTGTAAAATGAAATATAATTGTTTGGTAATTATTTACAATGAAATTAGTTATTTGAATGGTTAGGGAGACCAAAGATATAAAATCATTAACATAGTTTTAAAACCGACCGTTAAGAGGTAAACTTTTTTTAACAAACAAGATTCACCTCTTAATAATTCAAAAAATGTCTCTCAATGTAACTATTAAAAACTAAACAAAAAACCTCTTATTATAATTTGCTTACAGTATACAAATACGATGTCGTTTAGTGTCAAATTACAATAAACCGTTTCTCACTAACCCACCCACTCTACTCTCTGTATCTAACCGTTTAAACCCCTTTCTTCACCACCCACCACCCTGTAAACTTCCAATAGATTCCCGTTCTTCAATCATGAACCCAAGAAAACACATTCTTTTCTTGTTGATTTTCTCTTCCAGTCTCTTTTTCCATCCATCAATGGCGTACCCACGTAATGTCGCCTTCGAATTCCCCTTTCTCCCTCTCCAAAACTTCACCCTCCTCGGTGACTCCTACCTCCGTAACGGCGTCGCCGGTCTCACTCTTGAATCCGACGTCCCCGCTTCCTCCGCCGGAACCCTAATCTACACCACACCAATTCGTTTCTCCGACAACCGTACTAACTCCACCGCCTCCTTCACCACCAGATTCTCCTTCTCCATCGTCAGCCTCAACCCTCTCTCCTCCGTCGGCGACGGATTGTCGTTCTTCATCTCACCGGAAAACCACACTCTTGGATCTCCCGGCGGATACTTGGCACTTGTGAATTCCTCAAAATTAACTCAAAACAAGTTCATCGCAATCGAATTCGATACCCGACTTGACCCGTACTTCAACGACCCGAATGAAAATCATATCGGATTAGATATCAATAGTTTGAATTCGATCAAAACATCAGATTGTATGTCTGCTGGAATCGATTTAAGAACTGGAATTTCATTCACTACATGGATTGATTACGATAATGATCGAAAAAACCTTCAAGTGTTCTTGACCCGATCACGATCCAAACCCGATTACCCGATTTTAGCCATGGAAATCGATTTATCGAGCTATTTTCAAGAGTATATGTATCTAGGGTTTTCAGGATCGACGGAAGGAACTACAGAAACCCATTTGATCGAGAATTGGAGCTTCAAATCATCTGGGCTTAAACATTTTAACCCTAGAATCAACGATCCACACAATGTTACTGATAACACCGTCGTGAAGAGGCCTCCGGTTTCCGATTCCGGCGACTTTCGTAAAAAGATACAATTCGGTCTCGAAGTTTCCGGCCCGGTGTTCTTATTTGCAGTTCTTGTGTTTTTTGGGTACATTTCAGTGAAGAAATGGAAATCAATCAGAATAGAAATGAATATTAAAGCAGAAGTTACAAGAAGGCCAAGAGAATTTAGTTACCGAGAGCTCAAGATTGCCACGCATGGCTTCCATTCGAGTCTGATCATCGGCAACGGTTCATTTGGGACGGTTTACAAAGCGTTTTTGTTGACATCCGGAACCACCGTGGCCGTGAAACGATCGCTGCGATCCCATGAAGCTAAAACCGAGTTCTTCTCCGAGTTATCGGTGATTGCGCGTTTACGACACAAAAATCTCGTTCAGCTTCTCGGATGGTGTGTCGAAAAAGGCGAATTGTTGCTTGTTTACGAGTTGATGCCTTACGGGAGTATCGATAAGGTGTTGCATCAAGATCCCGATCATTGTGGTTTCTTGAAATGGGGTAATCGGTACAACATTGCTATCGGGTTAGCTTCGGCTTTGGCTTATCTTCATCAAGAATGTGATAAACTGGTGATTCATAGAGATATAAAGGCTAGTAATGTGATGTTGGATGCGAATTTGAATGCTCGATTAGGCGATTTCGGGCTAGCTCGGATAGTCGACCATAACAAGAGTCCGGTTTCAACTCTAACCGCGGGAACCGTCGGTTATCTGGCTCCTGAGTATCTTTATTGCGGTAAAGCTACCGATAAAACGGACGTGTTCAGCTACGGTGTGGTGGTGCTCGAGGTGTGTTGTGGCCGGAGACCGATTGATTGGGAAGCCAGGGGTCAAAATGCAGTAAATTTGGTCGACTGGGTGTGGCGGTTGTACGGGAAAGGCGAGGTTTTGGACGCGGTCGATAAGCGGCTTAACGGTGAGTTTGATGAGGTGGAAGGTAAGCGGCTTTTGATGGTCGGGTTGAGCTGTGCGAATCCCGATAGCGAAATGAGGCCGTCGATGAGGCGGGTGTTGCAGATTTTAGAGAACGAGGCGGAGGAAATGGTGGTGCCGCCGGTAAAACCGATGGCGAATTTTTCGACTAGTTTGCCAATGAGTCTCGAGGATCTTGTGTCTTCTTCCTCCTCAGACGATGAGGAAGCCGTTGAAGGAAACGGTAGTCGTGAGACGTCCGATAGCACATTCGAGATTTGTATCGATGCGTCGGGGAAGTAGAAAGTTTACGTTTCATCGGATTTATTCGTAACGTGTGTGTGTATAATTTGATCATTGATTAGCGTTAAAAACTTAACAATTACTCCTTTGTTAGATAAAATTTCGAAATTTCACATTCGTAATCCATTTTGTGTCAAATAAGGGACTAAAAATGGCAATTACGTGAAAGTTGGAAGTCCAAGGTTTGGATGGTCATTATATAAACCTTGAGGGCTTGTTTGTTAATTAATGAGTTGTTTACTGGACACCTGTTGGGTGTCATTTACCTTACCGGATGAATATGTCAAGGTCTGAGAATTTTACTCAATAAGTAAGAGAGAAGAACCTGGTTAGCGTTTACCGGGTAAAAAACGCTTACCAACAATCAATTTTGATGGTCGATAATATTACCCGATAAGGTATATGAGGGTGGTGATTTTTTGTCCGTAAACACTTATCCGGTAACCATTTTGTAAGCGACCCTGAGTTAACCGTGGATGAAGAAATTTGTCGAAGAAGTGGTCGTGGTTCTGAAAGCGCAATGGATGCCAGTATTTGTATTTGATAGGAAACCCAAATAAGAATACGTACAAAAGCAAACATCGATTCAAATTCGTATATCAAATTAAGGTAAATAAATCAACACCAGATTTGCATTTAAGTGTTCCGGTGGTAGCATGACATATTTTAAAATCAGTTAGTGTAAAATCTGGGTTAAAATGGAGGTGTTAAGGCCAATAGTTTCAGTATAAATGCTATACATGTTGCTGTTAAAATACAAAGCAAAGTAAATCACGAATTAGAACATGATAGTTTCATTTAGACGGTTGTGTCAAACTTGCAAAGATGGATGACGTGACTTCTGCACAATCACGTAGAATTCCACATGGAGCCAGAAGGCCTACTGCATTTATTACACATGTGCAACATACTTTTTGCTGCTTGGGCATAACCTTGCTAAATCGATACATTCGTAACTCATGCGACATTTATTCTATTAAATAACATGATCATGTTAGTTTGATAGGAGACATACTGCCTTCACCACACGACCGACAGTGTCCCATAATGTGGTTCTGCATGATCGCATGATGTCTCGTACCATAACTGATTATGGCAAAAAAAAAAATACTTTTTTTGACATTTTTATAATGTATCGTTAGTTGACATGTTTAAACCGTTTGTAAAAAACTATTTCCTTTATTTAAAAATAATTTAATCTACAGTCCATGCACAAAAACTTTCGTAAAAGTTATATATCATTTTGATGCGTTTAAATCTGTGTTTTGTAACTGATAATAAGTTTTTTTCTGTTTCAATAAAATAATTTCGATTATTTATGGGTTAATTAATTAGTTTATAATGATTAATTTTGTATTAGATGCAACAAAATAAATTATTCAAGAAAAAAGATAAAATTATCTATTTACTCCTCTTATTTTAACCATCATTTATCATATTTTTGTTAGGGGTGTGTAGAAAATCAATTGAAATCGACTGATCGAATTAGAACTGACCGATCATAATTGGATATCCAATTGTAATTGGATCAGATCGGATTGAAAATATCAAAATCCAATTTAAATCGGTTGATTCTCGTATGACAATCTAAATTGATATAAACCGAACTGATCAACATCCAATTAATCATCAGATAACCATCTACTTTGTTTTATGTGAGACTTTGAATTTTTGACTTCCCTTGTGTTGGTTTTAACACATATTAAAAATGATTAATTAATTTGTATCATTGTTAGAGAATTAGATTGAATTAACACACCGGATGGATCCAAACTCATTGGATCATCTATTGGATATCCGATGGATATCCAATAAAGAATCAAATGGATGAAACTGAACCAATCCAATCATTCACTGGATTAGATTGGATCGGTTATCCAGTGTTAGTATATCAATTATCATATATTTGTTTCACAATGAATTTGGTTCATATGTATTTGGTTATTTTATACTATTAATTGAATAAAATTTTTAGAACACTTATATATTTAAATTATCGAATTATTCTATGACCAACTAAGGGGCCGTTTACCAAATGCTTACTCGGGTAAGCGCTTACCAAGTCACGTTACCTCACCGGATGAATATGGTAAGGACCAAGAATCTTACTCGGAAAAAGCGAGACAAGGACCAAGAGTCTTATCCGGTAAGTGAGGGCGACGACTCGTACCACGGTAAACACTTACCGGGTAAATTGTTGTATGTGATATCGTTTTGGTGGATTAAAATTTTACCCCGTAAGTAAATAATAGTTTTAACTTTTATTGGTAAGCATTTACTGGGTAAATATTTAGTAAACGACCCCTAAGCATCCATAGCTAAATGATTCATTTAGTCGATGTAACCACAAACTTCAAATTCAAGTAATAACATTATGTAAAACCTAAAAAAAAACATATTTAAATACCGTATTTACCAACACATTTTGTATTAAATGGAATTTACCCAAAATGATCACTTTTTAGAGATTTTTCACAAAATGACCATCAAAATCTCCCATGGGTGGCGATTTTGACTATTATAGGGCGATTTTGACTATAAGGTATGGATGAGTCCCACATGTATACCATTTGGGGAACAAAAATCAGATATTATATCTAACATATATGAAATCGCCCTCATTTTGTCCAAATCATGGGATGATTTTGACTCCATTTCGTCTTCTAATGAAGACAACTTATGACGCAACAACTTGACACATCAATGACGATTTGACAAGACACCGAGGGTGATTTTCATTGGTATTTTGTCTTTTTAGGACCAAATGTAGTATAATATATAAATCTTGTAGTATTCTCTATAAAATTGTAGTGATCCAAACACTTATACTCTCACAACCCTTAACCCTTAAACATAATCTACCATCACAACCAGTAACACAAATATGAAATCACATTAAAGTGATAATGGTTTCATGTATGTTCAAAGTGGTAGGTTAAAAGTTGTGAGAATAAAAGTGTTTGGATCACTACAATTGTATAAAAAGTACTACAAGATTCATATATGTTACATTTGGTCATAAAAAAAAAAAACAAAATACCAATGAAAATCGCTCTCGATGTTTCGTCAAACCGTCATTCATGTGTCAAATCATTGCGTCATAAATTGTCTTCATTAGAAGACGAAATAAAGGTCAAAATCGCCCCCATGGGACGATTTTCACTTTTTGAGGACGATTTACCCATTTTCATATATAATATATGATTTTTGTCCCCCAAATGATATACATATGGGACTCGTCCGTACCTTATAGTCAAAATTGCCCACCAAGGACGATTTTAATGGTCATTTTATATATAAAAAAAAACCTTTAAAAATGGTCATTTTATTAATACACATTACACAATACATAAAATAGTTATTTTAAGTAATTTATTTTATTAAAATACAAAATTTAAATTATTTTGGAATATATTTTTTGGTTTATTAATTCACAGAATTTGATTGTTAAGAAAGGAATCATTTGCTTTGTTGACTTTTCCCAAATTTTCAAATAATATTATCTTTTTAAGCTTATAAAAAGGTATGCCATCAATCTCATTTTATATTGTTTCTTAATTAAAAAAATCACATAATCTTTTTTCCAAAAAAAAAAAAAGGAATTAAATTTAAAAAAAAAAGTATTTTAATAAGTGAAATTACCTAAAATGACCAGTTTATACAGGTACAGTAACAAAATGACCACTTTTTCGGTACGATCCCGATCACCACGCTAGCCTTGGTTGTTGAATGATCCATAAAATGTCCTTTCATGTTATGTATTTGAAGACGGGTTCCACATATGGTTGGTTAGGGTTACTGGTAATCAACTTTTTTATTTAAACAATGTAGTTTTTGTAATCGTTTTATATATTAATTATTTAAATATGTGATAAAACACTTTGTTTGTGTTTTTATTCGAAGTCATTAAGACTCATCGTAAACTTTCGATATGCCCATTTTGCCTATCACCGACTTTTTATTCCGTTCATTATAAAATGCAATAAATGTCTGTTTATTAAAGACTTGTCATTTTTTTTACTGCAAAAGATTGCATTGATTTGATAAGAATAATATTGCTTTTTTATATTATCTAACTGAATATTGTCAAAGTAAGAATCAGGACTGCTAGATATGGGTTGTTTACTTACAACTTAACGAGCTTAATGGTATAAGGACTTATTCGCTCAGTCATACAAAACGGTTTCTTTACAACTTAATCATTAAGCTATCTTTACGACTTGATTGTTAAGCTATTAAGCCACAATGCCTACATGGAATAATCTAGTACCCCTCACTTGTTCTCGTTAAGTAATCTCAAATAAATGAATACCAGAAAATACAATCATGAATATTACAACCCTTTCTCATTACCTCCCTCAAACGAGTCTGTTTCCCATCCTTACACATACAACTTTATTGACACAAACCAAAGAGCCTTTGACCTAGCGGTATGTGAGTCATTGGCCTTCTAGGAGGTCAAGGGTTCAAACCTCACCAAATGTGAGGAGGGTGTGTGAGTTTTTTTGTTCTATTTGCCGTATATAAATATTATATACTTCAAAAAAAAAACTTTATTGACACAAATAATTTAACAAATACATGATTAAGGTTGGGTTTCAATGAGAATGATGAGAAATGATCTCCACCCTTTGATACGTCATATTTTAAGAGAAACACTAAATCAAGTGTAATGAGATATACCAGATAAGTTCCCTTCTAAACCGCAATTTATGGGTTGGTTTGAGATTAAAAATGATCAATAGTCCAAATCCCTTCTCACATTTCACACCTTAACTCATATTCTCACATGATCATTCGTCTACAAGCTTAATGGTAGAATAACACAGTTTTTTATGAAGCGTTTGATTCGCAAAATTTCAACGAGTCTGAAGTAATTGGAACAATCAAATATGTTGACCAAGTTCTTTTCAGACGTTTGGTTTACACATGGAACATAATTGAAATCCACACATTTCATCATTCATGAATTTGGTCATTCCATCACAATTGAGAAGAAATTGAATTTCATCCCATCCCATTTTCTCAAAAAGACAAAACTAACCCATCTTCCGTACTTGATTTACCCAAACCTGCATGACTCCATCTGAACCACCGCCGACCACCATCAATTTGAACCACCGTTTTTAACAATCAACCAAGCATGTAGTCAAATTTCATTCCAATTCCTTAATTTCTTTTGACACATTACATTCCTTCAGAAAACACTCTACAAACAAAACCCCTCTTAGAGAGAGAGACCTATCTACATACCAAATGCTACATGATAATCCACCTAAGAAGCCGTTTACCAAATTACTGGATGAATATGGTAAAAACAAAAAATCTTACCCGATAAGAGCAAAAACAAGAATCGAGACTCGTACCCGGTAAGTGAGGACAACGACTCTTACCATGATTAGAGCTTACCGGGATAAATTGTTGCGTACAATGCGTTTTAGCGAATAAAATCTTGCCCGGTAAGTAAACGATAGTGTTGAATTTTACCGGTAAGTGCTTACCGGGTAAGTGTTTAGATAAACGGCCCCTAAATTTTATAATAAAAAAATGGTATTAATTAAAATTTAAAATGTTATTAAATGATAAGTCGGTAAGTCTTTTTTTTCAAAAACAAAAAATATAAATAAAGCAATCAATGGAAAAAATAAAAAAGGTAGAGAAATAATATACAAGTCCCCCCCTCTGTGTATTTGCTGCATTCTTCTTTGTAAATCGTTCGGGGACGACAGTAGCTTCTTGCTTGAGTAATTCTCTGTTCTTCCCTTCCCTTATCTATCAATCAATATCATCAAACCCTAATCTATAATCACACAATTACCTTTCACTTTGATCAACAGTCGGCATAAGAAGAAAAAACCCTTGTCTCGAAAACCCTTGAATCCAACCGTTTATTGATTGATTTTCTTAATTCGACATAATCTGATCGATTTGCTTTGATGCCAATTGATTATACGTAATACTAATCGTACGATCAACGATTCTATCGGCTGTGTGTTTTTGTGGCCAATGCTATTTGTCAGGTTGATTTCAGGATGAAGTTGCGGAGAAGGAGGGCATCAGAAGTGGTCAGTGCACTTACTATTTTTTTCATCTTTTTTCTTTATATCGGAACTTGTATGAATTACGATGGAGTTTAGGGTTTATTCACTTTATGCCACCACTAGCAACTTTATCCATGGATGCATCAGCATCAGTCTTAGATTACGAAGAATGAATTGAATTGGTATAATACTTCAAAATCCATGGACATAATTGAATTTAAAAGGAGCAATTGAAGAAGTAATTTTCCTTTTGTTTGGACACTTGTTTTAGAAGTACGTGTGGTTGCATGAACTTGCTATATGAGAGCCAGAAAATCTGGAAGCTTGGCCTGAATTATTGAATTCGTTTTCGTTGTTATGGATTCATTGTGCTTTTAAGTCATGCTACTATGTGATGTATCCCTGTTTTATTCTTCTCTTTACTAATACTCAAGCATAAATTTCTAGCCTATTTCTATTTTACCATTGGTTTTTTGATTTCCCTTTTGCTCATCTCATATTTTAATTGTTTTGATCTGTTATTAGAGTTTGAATTCAGTATTAGTTTGATATGCTCAATCCCTGATGATACATGTTATATGTTCCCCTTTTATTGTGTATCAGCCTCCCAAAATTAGATCCTTCATCAATGGTGTGGTTGCTGCTCCGCTTGAAAGTATTGAAGAGCCCTTGAAAAGCTTCTTCTGGGACTTTGACAAGGTACCTTTGCAGACCTATCTGATTTGCCATATAAGTTTTGCTTATATCTGGGTTGATGGCAATGGTTGTTGTTGATACAGGGAGACTTCCGTCACTGGGTTGATCTATTTAATCACTTTGATACTTTTTTTGAGAAATACATAAAACCAAGGAAGGATTTGCAAGTTGAGGATGGTTTCTTGGAGCTTGATCCTCCCTTCCCAAAGGAGGCTGTCCTGCAGATTTTGCGTGTTGTAAGGATAATTTTGGACAACTGCACAAATAAGCACTTCTATAGTTCCTATGAGGTAAATTTCTGTCTATAATTGATTGCTCTAATTTTTATTTGCTGTGTTCCTAAAAAACTTGAATTAGGATGCCTTAAGTGGCCGCCTAGGCTTAAACATCTGCTCATATCTTCAGTGAGTTGAGACTGCTTAATTGGTTGCCTAGGAGTTTATCATCTTCTAACACTTTGATTAGCAATCGAGTGTTAAGCTTTTTAAAAACTTAAGAAGAGATCAATCTGCCTTTCTAAGCTTATTTTCACCAATCAGTTTTTCTCTACTTGGAGGGAACTATCATGATCCTTCCTTAGAGAAGTAATTGTACAAAAATTATGTAAAACCAAAGCTTTAATTCTTATATATTTAAATAATAGAAAAATTGTTATTTTATGCAAAAATGGACTGCATATGGTTTTAAATGACTTTTTTGACTTACCCAAGAAATAGCCTTTACTGAAAGTAAGTAGATTCATCATTTCTTTCTTATGTGGATGCTAGATCATCAAATCATGCATTCAATAACAAGTATTTCACCCTTCAACCTGCACCATTGAGCTAATTGGATCAGTATGTTTTTTTAACCATGAAATGATCTATTTCAGTTCAGTTAGCATGTGTAATTTTGCACAAGGCTTCCATAAGTTTCCGTGCTAATTACTAATAATTGGAGGCTTTTTATGTGAATTTATGCATCTGATTTTTTTAATTTATCTACGTTACTTTGTGTTGTTTTCCTAATCCTGGATTTATATAATGCAGCATCATCTTTCTACTCTGCTGGCTTCCACCGATGCGGATGTGGTTGAATCCTGTCTGCAAACTTTGTCTTATTTCTTAAGGAAATCGATTGGAAAACACATTTTACGAGATACAACTCTAAGTTCAAAGCTATTTGCTTTTGCCCAAGGTTGGGGTGGAAAGGATGAAGGACTTGGGTTGGTTGCATGTGCCGTAGAGAATGTATCTGTTCCAGTTGCTCAGGAGTTGGGCAGTACCCTGCATTTTGAGTTCTATGCAGTGAACGAGTCCTTGAAGAAAAACTCTGCTGCAGAACAGTCAACCGAAGGTTTGCAGATTATCCATTTGCCTAAAATCAGTACTAACGAGAAGTCTGATCTTGAACTCCTGCACAAGTTAGTTGAAGAGTATAAAGTACCTCGTGGTTTAAGATTCTCCCTTTTGACAAGATTGCGTTTTGCAAGAGCTTTCAGCTCCTTTGCTGCCCGACAACAGTACACGTGTATTCGCTTGCATGCGTTTGTAGTTCTTGTTCAAGCGTGTGGTGATACTGATGATCTGGTCTCCTTTTTTAACACTGAGCCTGAGTTCATCAATGAATTGGTTACTCTGTTGAGCTATGAAGATGCAGTCCCAGAAAAAATTCGAATATTAAGTTTGTTTTCATTGGTTGCTCTTTGTCAAGATCGCTCTCGACAGCCAACAGTGTTGTCTGCTGTAACTTCTGGTGGGCACCGTGGCATCCTCTCTAGCCTCATGCAGAAGGCTATTGATGATGTGGTTAGTAAATCATCTAAAGGGTCTGTTCTCTTTGCTGAGGCTCTGCTCTCTTTGGCCACTGTTTTAGTTTCGTCCTCATCTGGCTGTTCTGCCATGCGTGAAGCAGGGTTTATACCAACCCTTCTGCCTCTTCTTAAAAACACAGATCCTCAGCATTTGCATTTAGTCAGCACATGTGTACATGTTCTAGAAGCATTTATGGATTACAGCAATCCAGCTGCTACTTTATTTCGAGACCTGGGAGGACTAGATGCTACAGTTTTTCGACTGAAGGTAGAAGTTTCTAATGTTGAAAATGGCTCAAAACAAGAAGGCACTTCTATTGAGATGGACAGTTCTGAATGTAGCAATGGTCAAGTTTTTGCTGGTACATCTTCTGAACTGGATAGCATGCAGCCTCTTTATTCTGAAGCTTTGGTGTCATACCACCGGAGGTCTCTAATGAAAGCTTTACTGCGGGCTATATCCCTTGGAACATATGCTCCTGGAACCACTGCTCGTGTTTATGGTTCTGAGGGAAGTTTGTTGCCACATTGCTTATATGTGATCTTTAAAAAAGCAAAAGATTTTGGTGGTGGCATGTTTTCACTGGCAGCAATCGTCATGAGTGATCTCATCCACAAAGACCCTACTTGTTATTCCATCTTAGAAGAAGCTGGCCTTCCATCTGCGTTTTTAGATGCTATAATGGATAATGTGCTATGCTCTGCTGAAGCTATAACATGCATACCTCAGTGCTTGGATGCCTTGTGCCTTAGTAATAGTGGCCTCCAGGCGGTGAAAGATCGTAATGCTTTGAGGTGCTTTGTGAAAATATTTACATCAAGAATGTA